TGGATACTGCCAGAACAACAGTTTCCTTCTGGATTTGCACAGTTATAATGCACAATCAGTCACCAAATGTATCCTCTTTGGTGTCCTTCACTTCAAATCATGGAGCAGGCATGCACTTAGACCGTGCAGCTGTGTTTTCCCTCGGGATCTGAACTTCTGGTACCTGGAGTGTGGAAGCAAGCAGGCTGCAGAAATGCACTGTAATGCTCTGAGTACTGGAATAAAGCAACATTTGCAAGGCGGACAAAAGCAAAACAAAATCTTAGTAAGCTTGTGCAAAAGCAGTATGGGGTAGGAGGGGAAAAGAGATTTTAGTCCTGAGCACGATTCTTAAAACTGTATATCCTGTGTCAAAGAAAGAGCATTAAAAAAACACAACCCAGCAGCAGACGTTTAAAAAGTCTTAGGAATAGATTCTGTCGATAACCTGCAGAATTATTAAGCGACGGCGATGAGGTCACTGCTTCACGCTGTGCCACAGAACAACACTGCGGCCACTTCCACCAACACCACCAGAAGCTCCACCAGCCTGACGGAGCCGCACCAGAAATGCCACCTCCAAGGCACTTGTTTACCAGAGCTGCACCCCCACCGAAGAGAAATCTTCCTCCTGTACTTCTCCTCCCCGAGGAAAAATAAGGTCACCCAGCAGCGAGCGCATCCCGCGGGGCTCAGCAGCGGTCCCGCAGCACCAGCAGCACGGCCCCCAGGTGCGGCTGGTCTTATGCCCGAGCACAGCGCTGCGGGAACGTGCCTCGATGCGCTACCAGCACCCCTGCCAAACACCGCGGGGCTCTCGCCTGCCCCGTTTCCAAGTGACACCTGCACATCACTAATCCAGTTGCCGTTTATTTCCATATGTCAAATTACAATCTTTACTTGTGCAAAGCGACATAATAGTAATGATTAAGCCAATTACATCACAACACAGCTTAAAAGTACACACAATGGGAGGATTAAAGCCGGCTCCCGAGCAGGAGAGCCGTGCTCTCTGCGAGCTCTCCCACTGCGGGGACACCAGCGTCCCTTTTCCCGCCGACAAGCAGCCGCCGGTTGCCACGAGCACGGGTCTGTGTGAGCACCACGCGGCCGGCCCCGAGTGCCCGGCACCGACATGGTTGCAGCCAGACGGCCGCGTGGGCGAGCGGATCCCGGTCCGTCCTGCCGGGTAAAGCCACCTCCGCCACGGTATGTGGGTCAGGTTGGTGCTGGCAGCATGGGCCCTGTCTGGGGAAAGAAGGGATAGAAAACCGAGCACAAAGAGGAAAGAAGCCGAGCGTCTCATTCTCTCCATAGGGCCAAACAGAGTTTTCAACCCGTCTGAAATATTTACCACTGCTTTCTGCACCGTAACGCCGACCAACACCAACACCAGACTCCCATAGCAACGCAGGTTAAATCTTTACACGATAACCAACCTTTCAGACTAATAAGTTCAATTCTAACTATAATTGAGCATCTGAATTTCCTAGGATTTAAAAACCTCAGACAGACACCATTATTTTTATTTGTTTACTGCCTTGGTGTTTAAATCGGTGTCACTCAGAACAGTCAAGCCTTTCACCTCCCATTACTGCTCTGCACACCTTACTCCTTCTTCTTTTTCACATCTTCATATCCCTCCTAATTTTCTTTACCACCTGGCAGCGCTGGTTCCATCTGCCAAAATCTACCTTCCTATTCCAGCTAAAATCAACACAAAATAAATCGGCACTGTTTGTATTTTACACATCATCATTAGGCTGAAAGAACTTCCAACTTTTAAATACATTCTTGTGTGCTGACTGCAGACTCAGGCAGACATTGCTCTATCCAGTCACGCTATGTGAGGTTCTCCACAAGTACATTTCCAAAGAAACACTGCATGTGTAAGCTAATACTCAGCAGAATTGAATGCGGTGTGCACAACTGGCAAGTCTGTTCCACATCACCCATCAACTGCCCATATTTGCTAGGTGGTCATTTCACCCACATCTCTCCATCAACAACCATGCACATCACAACCATTTTAAGTACCGAAAGATCAGCCAAAAACTGGGTATTTTTTTCTTTATGATACATACATACGCACACAAAAATGTGTAAGTAAGTAAAACTGAATGCCCCATGTACCACCTTCAAAAATGCTACTATGGCAAGCTGACAAAATTAGCAAGACTAATTGCAAAAAACAAACAAACAGAGTGCCTTTGCTTCTCTATCATTCAACCAAAGGACAGTAACAATATCAAATTTGCGCATATTCATACTTATCAAACATCATTTCTTATTTCCATGGCTTAAACTTCTGTGAGCCATAAAAGAGTCCTGATCTTACATATGCGCGTGCACACACACACACACAAAGGAGGGGGGGTCTGTATTAAAAATACCTTTTTTACTCCATTTTGCCTTATATTCTACCTTTGTTTTGGAAAGATTGCTTTCTTATTAAAATAGTGAGATGGAGGGAACATTCTGAAGGACAATTACTAACAGTCTGCAGTTTGCACCTGTTCTGTGTTTGCAGAGTGAAAACAAGACTTGGCACTTCAAGGTACCTCTTCCCTGGGCTTATTTACAGTGAGAAACAATAGCTTTTGTTTCAACTTTCTTTGCTAAAATAAAAGCCTATTTCGTCCAATCCAAATGCACATCCTACATCAAATACACCCTGTAGCTGATTTCTGTGTGCGCTTATCCTCCTGATCATCACTGACTCAAAAGACTACATCATCCAGATCTTCCCTTTGCAGCCAACAGCTATGGTGAGGGTGAATGTTATGCTGTCTCATTCAGCACGTGTTCCTGGGAAATGGCCCCATTCACTACCAGTAAGCAGTGAAGGAGAATTTAAGACTAAGAGATAAATAAGAAATTGTAACCTCTTTCTGCATTCTAGAAATACTCCTTTTCAAAAACAGTATTCCATCATCTACAGGAAACACAGCCTGAAACTAAGTTATAAGTGTTCACGGATTGGTGGAATGGGTATAGCCAAGGGACCAGACACCCTCTGCCACAAATTATGTTTCTGCATGTGCATACAGACTGGACTTGAAATATTAGCTGCTGAGGCAGATCTCAACCCAAAACTGTCAAGATAAGGCCCCCAACTGCCTACGTTAAACCTGGAAAAGAAATTCAGGCTAAAAGCTTGTATCGAGGAAAGTGCTGTTTCATGAAAACTATGACCTTACATATTCCTCAACTATGCTGTATGACATTTTCCATACAAACTTGTTTTCCAACTTAAAAAATAAAAAACATCTTTCTTTCTAAAAATTGTGTTTGCATGCATTCTCCATGGGCATACCAATAGAACAGAGTTACTAATGCTTATGTCTCATCGCGACAGACGGGAGAGGAAGTGTTTCTTAAGGGAGAGGAGGCTTTCACAGAATGCCTAAGTAGACAACTAAGATAAATTCTGAGATTAATGAATTTGGAATGATACGCTTACCTTTTTCTTAATTGAGGAAAAAAAGACATACAAAGTTCCTAGATATATCTAGTTTGTTACACAGCAAAAGAATACTTCTTTTTGAGAGTAAAATGACCCAGGTCATTCTGAAACTGAATCTCACAATTTCCTTGGGACTCCAGAATATGATGTAAAGAGTTAGCAGTAGTATTGATTTAGTTTTGAAAAACTAAAGCTTAGCAACAGAACACTCTTAAAGCCTTTGGTAATAGGAAGGAGCTTCAAATGACGAAGACAACTGGAAGACTGAAAAACACCCTGCAAGTTTAACCATAAAAAACCAGCGAGAAGCCTCCTCCACAGTGTTTCAGTTGTAAGAATCACTAGCTATATCAACCAGCTTCGGTAATATTGCTGTTTACCCATCTAGTCTGAAGGATTATGGAGATAACTGCACAAAAGCTGACTCTTGAGGTTTATTAAATATTCAACAAATATTCTGTACACATGCTGGGTATTAAATAATAATAAAAAACAAAACAAAAACCAGAAAATGCTGCAGAATATTATACATTAAATATTTCAAATAATACCAGAGTAGCACAGTTCATAATAATTCTTTTAAATCACTTTATCACATATCAACATAAAAATATACAATATAGACACAACTGTAAATTCTGGCATCATGAATATTTAGATGCTTTTAAAGGTTTGGGTTTTTTGTTTTTTTTTTTTCCTGTGGGTTAATTTTGCTTATGGTATTCTTGCATAAACTTGGAAAACTCATTTCATCTTTTCTTGATTTTTTTTCACTTTGGCATTAAGTAATAGCACTGTTATTTTCTCACTTGCTGTAGTATCACAGCATGGGGACATGCAGCAGCAGGAAACTCTTCGTTGTCATGCTTTAGCCTACTGTTCCTCTAACCTCCTCCTTCCCCTCCCATACCCACTCTCTTCCTAGTTAAATAGATGTAGCCTACACACAATCTGCCTTTTCCTAAAATCATCTGCTAATAATGTTCAATTAAAACCACACTCACTGCCGTAAGGCTTGCTGGCCAAAGAAATTCAGGCAATAACTAGGGTACTGCCTACCCACTTTGCAGAACAGGTTTCAAGTGTTCTCTCCAACACGCGTGCCACATACCATACACTGATCTACAACTGCACACAGGGTGAAGTGGCTGTTCAACATACTACTTTCTATTTGTGATGCACTGTGAAAAAGGACTGAGAACAAAGTAGCTTACTCAACAGACTTCAAACCAGGTAAGAAGTGGGATTTTTAAGTGTAAATCTACCAAACACCAACAAACTCAACAATGAGACAGCTTACAAGTTACTACGAAGCAGAAGTTCCCTGTTTCCACATGGCCTTCCCCAAGTAATATCTGCTCAAGTGCTCCATACAGAGTAACAGAGCCCACATGCCCACCTCAGAACACCACACCTAGGGGAAGCTTTTCAAATTGGTGGATGTAAGTCACAGGATGCTCAACTCTTAGGCTGACAATTACCATTTTTCGTGACACCACACCCAGCAATTTGAACAGATGGGACCTACAGAGCAAAACTGCATTAAACTACAGACCTTGTGTCCAAATGTAGCATCCTCGGAGGCCAAGACTTCAACCTGCAATTATAAGGAGAAAGATCATTTCAAACGTAGCCACTACCAGCAACCTCTCCTGAGCATAGCACCACAGTCCAGGCAGAGCAGTTTTCCACAAAGGACATCAGCTTGGACCAGTCCAAGGAAAGTCTATGTAGAACGGGACGTGCTGAACTATTAGCTGCCAACAAAATCTCTAAAGAAAGGAAGCAGAAGCTCAACCTAAATGGTGTGGAAAGTATCTATGTGTCAGTACCCCAACATATAATGGAGCACAACTGGAACACTGCTCTTCAGGTGACTTCTGGTTACACCAAAAAACTCCCTGAGCACAACCTGCACCACCTGCTGTGACAACATCGTGTAAAATTAAAGGCTGGCAACAGCTGAGCTCTTCCCTTTGCATTACCACCTGATGAGGCCTGCATCAGCACCAGTTGGAAGCTCCTTGGCCCAAGTTTCACTCACAGGCCCCTTTCCTGCCTTCAGCAAAGCAAATTCTTTAAGAATCGTAGCGCTGAGGGAAGATGAACTGCCCAGAGGCCAAGACTATCCAGAAGCACAATACAGCATGCGTCTGAAAGCTTGAGGACTGCAAGCTGTGAAGTGACCTAGCGATGCCCCAAATCCAGCACACCTTGCTGGTTGCCATGTAGCCACTGTTCCAAGAGCTGATACGCATTAATCTGAGACAACAGACACAGAAAAACAGGCACACCGATTTTTCATTAGTCTCCTTAAAAATACTTCACACTTCAGCACCTTTCACCTGAGAACCTCAGTGCTTTTATGAATTCTAATTAATTAAGCTTCCCAATACACTAGTGAGGTAGGAAAATGTCATCATCCCAATATAAAGAAAACAGAGTGAGGCAGAAAGAGGTTAAGTAATTTCTTAGCAGTCATGTGCCAAACAGGGGACGTGACTCAGGAAAAGAATCCCAGATTTCTACTCCCAGGCTCATAGTTTAACAACTAGGAAATTCTCTATTTCTCTGATTTACATCCTATTTAAAATGCCTACTGCTGCATTATAATTTATATAACTAGTATAACTATAACTAATGTATCTAATCTCCAGTTTAACTTAAGAAGAGTGAAGGATTTAAAGCAAATCAAGACAGAAAAAAATGAATGTCAAGTTTCAGCCCGAAGCACATTATAATGCCAGAGTTATAAACCCCTGAACAAGAGGGTTTATAATGGAAAGGCTGATAAACTAACAATGATGGCAGCACTTAAACATATTTATGTCATGATCTAGTAACATATGGTATCTCTTCATCTCTAAATTAAAAAAGGGAAGAAAAGGGTGGAGAGGGGGGGAGAAAAGAAGAAGCATTTATAGGAACTAAGAGTAAAAAGAAGAAAACAAACCTGAAGTTACCTAATTGTGACCTGTCCAACTGATTAGGAAAGGCAGTAAGAGGCTACAAAACAACATCTCACTGAATAGGAGGCAGAAAAAAAAATATCCAAGTAAATAAAACCAATCTGAGATGATATGTAATAGCTACTTAGATTAAGCTTCTAATCCTTTAGGCACTTTATAAATATTAAACAATCAGTCCTGGTGAGACTGATAAATATCCATAATATATTTTACAGATGAAGAAACAGACAGAGGGTTAAGTGACTTGCCCAGGGCCAAAAAGAATAATCAGACACTGGATTGGAAGTAGAAGAATGACCTGTTAGTATACCGTCCCCAGTTCAGTCCCTCAAGTCGCTTCTGAAGGAAGCTAATTGCAGTGTCAGAAGCAGTCCACCTAGGGTTAACATGATACCTATCTAAACTGAGTGTTCAGTGTCACCAGACTGCTTTGGTATAACATCTTGCTTCAGCAACTACATACACAGCAAAACTCTAACAACCTTGTTCAAAATCTACTCAGTTATCTCTACCCCATACTGTGCTGTTCATCTATCTTAGATGCCATCCTACTGCACTGGTTCCAAATGGAGCTGGTCACTGGTTATCATGAGACTCTCTAATGAAAGTAGAACCTTCCTTGTGCCACTGGCTCTTTCTTTGGTCCCTCCTTGGATCCAACTATGCTGATGACCACAGCTCACCCTGTCTGCTTTGCCCTGCCGTCCCTTCTTCATCCTCTGCTCTCCCTGTGGCCCCAGCCGGGCTATTGGCTCACAGAACCTCCCCAGAGTTGCTCCTCTCTGCACTGCTCCACATACGGCGCTCCCGGTGTTGGAACACAGCACAGATGGCATAAAACTCCTGCAAAGATCAACCCAAAGTGGTCTTTGTTGGGTATCCATCCTTTGTCCAACCTGTGGAGAGGCCACCTCACTTCACTGGGACATCACCACGCAGGGAAGTGGCACTGTCAGCACGTGGGCTGTGCTAATTAAGCTCCTGGTCACTCAGTGATGAACAAATAGTTCAAAATGCAAAAATTAAGACAGCATGTTTACCAAAGTCAGGTCTCTTTTCTTTCACCAGGATGTTGTGAAGAGGAACAGACTGTGACATCAGACAGCAAAACAGAAGTTTGTGTTTCTGTGCTCTCTTTTACATGTAGGATTTTTTTTTTTTGTTTAATGCTTAGAAATGTAAGGCTCACAGAGACAATAAAATGGTTCAGATTGCTGCTACCGGTATAGATGGTAATTCTAACAAAAAATGTTATTGAACAGTCTGATAATACCACTTCTGTTTTTCCAAGAGCAATCACATCATTTCTGCGATAAAATCTCATGTTGAGGATGGTGCAATAAAACACACTCTGTACGCTTAGCTACTACTGTGTTTACTCCTGCATTACCATATTGATCCATTCCTTTTGGTCTTCACCTCTGTATAAAATGCAGTAAGAGACAAGTAACTGCTGACACTGTAAGATACACGACATAAAGTACTGAAACAAGCTGTGCAACACTGCAATGTTTTTCTCATGCTGAATTTCAAAAAAAAAAGAAAAAAAAAAGAAAAAAAAAACAACCCACAAAATGCATTACAAGCTAGCCTGAGAGGACCCCCCTCTAGTGGGAATCGGAGTGTACTTCAAGTAACACCCACATTACCCAGAAGGAACAGAAAATGTGCCCTTAAGAATCAGGCAAGTACCATCTTTTCTCTTAATCTTCTCCAAAATTTATCACTTTCATTCAAAAAACAAAAACACAAACAAAAACAGATTCATTACTGTTTCAAGATAATCAGACATTAATTAAGAACTTCTGATTATATACTTATTTGTGGCAGTTAAACATTTTCCACTTAAGTTGCCTGACTGTAAATACGTAAATACACAATCCTGGGAGAGGGGTTATTTTCCTTGTATATTTCACTGCATTGTTAAAAAAGTGGGCTTGGTTCTCAAATGACACATTGCTCGTTCCATGTGCCTGCACCACAACATACCAAAATACTTCACTTGGTGCTGCTCTGCACCTTTGCTGGACACCCTCCATCACATCCACATGGTCCCCTTCTCTCAGTGTTACAGTCACACGTCTGCTAGCCTGCCTCATGTTGAAGCAGGAGCATCTCACTACTGGACCATCCCTGTCCTGCCTGGGTATCCCACTCCTTCCACACCCAACTCCAGAAAGCAGTTCTGGGCAGCCATGGGCTGAGCAGGATGGGGTCAGGTAGCACCACAGCCCTTCCAGCACCTAACAAGAGCAGCCTCTCATCAGTTTTATATTTATATATAATGTGTGTGTATTTCTGCAATATTTATAATTATATAAATATTAAAAATGTGTATTTTGTAGATGTTTTGTAAAAATATATGTAGACATGCATGTATTTCAGTAGATTGCTCCAAAGTAATACCTCCTCTTATGGGAACTAAAAACAGATGCAAAGAGCACAATAATGCTATTTGAAAGAGCAAATTCTTAGCGACATAACACAATTTTTCAACAGTCACCATCATTTTCACCAGCGCTGACCAAGAGCCTGCACACTGTGCTTGTAAAAATCTGCACGAGCGGAGGCGACCCGCTGTCACTGACTCCACTGCTGAAATGCACCCACTGCCTCACTGTGCTCACATTCACTGTTTGGTCTCCATATGTGTTCAGCATGTGCCAATGAATGCTAATGGGTGCCACCTTTTCTGCATGGAGGAATTCAGTAGCACATCTTTACTTCATACGTACTTCCATGACAAATGTCATTTTGTCGGACTGCTCCTCTGCTGCCAGCTGTCACACGGCAACAAGATGTAGCAGAATACTGGTGTAAAAGTTCATCCTTCACTGTCACACCCATCAACATTCACTTCTGATGTTGTGGGCCAATATCATAAAACAGGAGACATAACTTTCAGAGCAGCCCAACCCCCATACATGACCAGCATTCCACCTTCACAGTCCACCCAGTCTCTGCAATGGGTGACCTGGGCAGCCGTGGCCATCGCCACTAATACTTATGTAACATTCTAGGTGTTCAGAGCAGAAAACAGTAGCATTTAATACTTGCTAATTAATTACAAGATGGAAGAACTTGATAAGCTGCGAGAGATCCTCTAGAATGTTTGGAGTACCCTAAAGCAAGTTGGGAGAAGCCTTGAGTCTCTTTTTATTCAAATAAATGACATGAAGTATTTTTGTCTTGCTCTTACAGGACTCAGAGTCCCTAGTCTGAGAAACCACACTGCATCACAACCGTAAGATTTAAAATACATCATGCACAGAAAAAAGGACTTGTAACACACCAAAACCTTGAGGAGCAATGCTAAACAATACCTCTCTGAAAGAGTTATACAGCCTTACGATTAGATGACACAAGGAATTACAATAACGTGGCCATCTCCAAAGCCAAACTCAGTGATTTGCACCTTGATTCTCTCCAACTCCTTTCTGGCCCATCAAGGCTGTATTTGAGTTAGGATTAGCAGAAACTGAGCAAGAGCCACAGGAAGTGGAATGGCATTAATAAAAAAAAAAAATGAATGACAGCTATGCTTAGTACTCACTGTTATCCAAACAAGAGAATGTGAAGTGGCAAGTACTCACGGACAAAATAAGTAACTCACAGAAAATGTGGGTCA